TGACTTCAAAGGTCTTTCTCTGCCTGGGGACTGGGCATGTGTATCAGACCCAGGCCAGGGAGCAGGAGGAAGGCTGACAAGGTCATTAGGTAGGCTGAACATTTGCATATTTCCAATTTGTGTGAACTGGTTTGAGACAAATAGGGGGTGGGGGATGGGGATAATTCACAGCCTTAGTAAGGCAAAGGGCCAAGACAGCTCAGTGAAGGAATGGGCACTAAGCAAGGAGATGTGGGCTGAGTAATGAAATAAGGGTCTCAGTGAAGGGCTGCTGGCTCAGCAAGGACATGGGGGTATCAGTAAGGGGCTGATGGCTCGAGATTTTTTTTCAGGGGCCGGGAAGGGGGGGTGAGCAAGCAGAAGCCTAGCAAACAAGACGAGGACTTAAGTGAAAGGGATAGAAGGGAATGAGGAGTAGAAAGACTCAGTAAGGAGACAAGGAGTGCAGTAAGGAGATAGGGTTTCAATGAGAGAACTGGGGACTTAACCAAAGGGACAGGGGGCTCAGTGGAGGGAAAAGGGACCCGTTAAGGGAGAGGGGGGCTCAGCACAGGGATGGAGGTTCGGTGAGAAATATGGAAGCTCAGTAAGGGGATAGAGGCTTGGAATTCCATTTGGACTACAGGTTCAGTGTTGCCTTCCCCTCTTTGGGGCAAGGAAGTTGCCAGTACCTGAGGAGTGGAGGTCAGTCTAGAATCCCCAAGGAATACAGAAAGCCCCACCCTAGTGACCCTGCAGTACACCCCAGAGCGAACTTGGGTGTCTCGATCAAAAGGAGCCCCACCCCAGAAAGGCCCTACCTCCTGCCCCATCCTTTTCCAAATAAAAGAACCGTATGGTGAGGGTGGGAGGGAGGGGGAGGAAAAGAAGGGGAGAGGAGACAGGCCAGACTGAGAGAGAGGGAGTGAAATCCAGGAAGAGAGCCGGAGCAGCAAATCTGTCCCCACTCCTCCCCGCTGCTCGGATCGCTGGCAGCTGCATCCTTGGCTCCCCTCTGCAGAATCCTGTGAGGTGCATGTTAAGGAGGAGGGCCCAGGGGAGGCCAGGAGTCCATCCCCCCTCCATCTGCAAAAGGCTCTAGAGATAATCAGGAAGAGACCCCTCTCTCCTTCCCATCTCCCTGCCCTCTTCCCCATTCCTGGTTCTAGGGAATTTCCTACACAGCCCAGACTGCGCTTCTAGCTGAAAGGTAAGGAAATAATTAGGAGGGGGGCCACACTGCACATGAGGAGGGGGAAAGGAAAAGGGAAGGGGGATAGATCAAGAAGGCAGCCCCAAAACACACCCAGAAGTCCTGAATCCCAGCCCATAATACGATCTCTGAGGATTAGGAGATGCTTCTGGTTTCCTATCTAGGACCTCCCTGCCCCACCCCATCCCACCTGCTCTCCCCATTCCAGAGACCACCAAGGTTCTTGCAAACCCAAGCACAACCCAAGACACTTACACACCCACCCTTCCATTCACATGTGCCTTTGTCAAATGCTCAACATTGGCCCTAACCTTTACTGGGGGAGGTGGGGAAGGTGCCCCCTGCCCCAGATTCCTCATCTAACACCCCTCTCTCTATGATTCTCTCCTACCTTCTTGGGCCCCTCTTCTCAAGGAGCTCAGTACCCTCCCTCTGGCCTTTCTGATGACAGATCAGCAGCAAGGTGGGAAGGGTCTGCGACAGATATCCCTTGTGGCCACAAAGCAGGTTATTCCAGGCATTGCCAATCAACTTTGTGGGGCCTTTTATTTGATCAAAACACTAAACCAGGGGTGGGGAACCTGCGGCCTTGGGGCCACATGTGCATCTAGGACCTCCAGTGTGGCCCTTTGACCAAATCCAAACTTCACAGAACAAATCCCATTTCCCATTTGTTCTGCGAAGTTTGGATTAGGTCAAAGGGCCATATGAGGACCTAGAGGGTCACATGTGGCCTTGAGGCAGCAGGTACCCCACCCCTGCACCAAACCCAAGTCCACTTGGTGTTTAGTCTGTTAATTCCTCGGCAAGGCTGCCAGAACAGGTTTTTAAAGGCAATATCGGTGACCCAAGGCAAAGAAAAACAGCAAAAGAGGCCTCAGAAGGTTCTCTGGCCCGCCACCACTGCCTTAAATGACAGGAATTGCTGAGGAGGCAAGTCCTTGTGATGGAAAGCACCAGTCCCATACTGTCAATGGACTTCTGTCCTTGCCCTAGCTGGGTTGCTGCCACATTTGTGAATTAGAAGAGGAGAAAGAGTACCAGGTTTGGGAATCAAAAGACCCAATTTCAAATCCTGGCCTGGCTACTCCCTCCCCACATGACCTCATGCCAGTTCCTCCACCTAGCTAGCAGGTAAAATGAGAAGGGGTCTATAGGCTTCACCAGTCTTCCAAAATGGTCAATGATAGCAAAGAAGAACCCTTGGACAAGATGTCTCTCTGAGGTGCTTTCCAGCTCTAAACAAGTGTGCTGACGCAGGCTCAGACCAGAGAGAGCCAACTATTCAATTTTCATTGTGAGCATTTATACCTGAGAAATCAGCAAATGCTACAAATCAAGGTTGAGAAGGGGTAGAGGGCAAAACACTGCACCACGGAGGAGAGACAGAGGATAGGGCAAAGAAGAGCCCACCATATGGCTGATTCCTAGTTTAACTATTATTACTAACTATTATTATTATTACTAACTATTATTATTAACTATTATTACTAACTAGATTCTAAGTTCTGTTATTTCTATGCTGCTAAAGCACAGCATATGCTGTCAGGGCCCTTTAAATTCAGCACCTTGGGGCAAAATCCTAGTCACTCCACCCTAGTTGTGCTTCTGCTACATTTCCTGAACTCAGCATTCCATTCCCCTTATCTGTGGCTTCAAACAGGCCATCCTGGATTCTCATGCATCCCCTCCTCAACTCCACATTAAAATCCTACAGTGTTTCCCTAAAACCTCTAAATTAAAATACAAAGGCCTCAGCCTGACCCATAAAGCCCACCATAATCTGATTCACAATTACCTTTCCAGATATATTTCTTATTATTCTTTATCCCATACTCTATGTTTCAAAAAACTGGCCTATTAAGTGGAATCATAACTGGGAATGTTGGTGCCCAAGACAAGTGCCATAAACTATGCCCAGGGCAATGAACATGGTGCATACCTTCAGTCGAGGTTAGGTTGAACTGAGAGCCAGTTGTTAAACATACTGCAGGTTCTAGATCATATGAAATTATGATCATTTGGTTCTAGAGTTCCCATCACTCACCTATGGGAAAACCGAGCTCATTCTGGCCAGTTGTCAGATGGGACCGTGTGTGTGTGTGTGTGTGTGTGTGTGTGTGTGTGTGTGTGTGTGTTCTCGCTGAGCCCAATCCTGAAACTAGGGAAGGACAGGGCAGGAAAGGGGTGTCCTCTCCAAACCAAGAAAGAGCAGACAGTGAAGTCAGAGATTCAGGGCATGCTACATCTTCCGGCTGAAGCTGTCTGTTGGTGGTGGACCTGTGGGAGGGCAAAGTCCATCGGGTTCAAGGGGAGAAGGGCTGATGACACAGGGAATCTATGTTGAGCTGTGGGATAAAACCAAGGCCGTCTCAGAACAGGATACAAAGCTGTGTGACTTAAGCCTTCTGAGGTCTCTGGGCTTTTCTAGTTCTATTCCTTTCCTCCATAAGGAAGGCCAAGTAGTAAATCAAAAAGTGTTGGATTTGAAGTCAAAGGGCCGGGGTTCAAATGCTGACACTGCCCCTTCTAGGTCTATGACCTCCAACAAATCCCTTCTTTCCTTTGGGCCTCCGTGTCCTTATCTAGGGTTAGACCGGGGGACCTCTGAGGTCCCTTCTGGCTCTGGATACTCTGATCCTTTAGAAACTAGCAAAACTCCATCCGTTTGTGCTCTGTGAGGCTGAGATGAAGGAAAGGAATTTCCCAGCTGGGGACAGAGGAGTCAGGCTCCCTGGCAGCCTGGGACTGATGGGGCCGAAGCCAGAATTGGGATGCTAAAGCTCACTCCAAAAGATATGGCGAAGGAGAAAGAGTTCTGGATTTGGAATAGGACCTGGGTTCAAATCCCAGCCCTGCTTCGTACTACCTACGATGATCTTGGTGGGCCTCAGTTTCCGCATCTGTAAAACTTGGAAGTTAGACTAAATGACATCTGAGACTCCTTCCAGCTCTGAGTCTGTGATCCCATGCTCCCTTCTGCCTTAGGTTTCTTTAGAGTGGGCTCTGGCCTGCGATGTCTGGGCTTGGGATGACAGAGCCCGGCCTAGTTTAGCCCTAGGCTTCTCAGCATTCCTCAGCAGGAATGAACAGAACGGGTACACAAAGTCAGACTCTTCCCAAGTTCCCAATACAGTTAGCTTGGCCTTCCCCTCAGGAAAGGCACACAAGGGGTAGAATGGCCATGAGTTAATCCAGATTGCAGCCCCTCCTCCTGGCTTGGAGCCCCACTAGCTACGGGCAAGAAGTGATGCTGGAGGCAGGGAAAGTGGGGTGTGATGTCACATCTGTCTAAGGACTCTCTTACTCCCAGTTCCTCCACAATGAAGAGACAGAAGGCCAAGGAAGCCACATCTGGAAACAGCTAGACAGTAATCCAGCCTAGACCTCCCTGTATTTTTTTTCCCACCCTTGCCCTAACCCCACCTCCCAAATTCCTCAGCCAAACAGGCCTTTCCTCCTGGACACATACATACACACACACACACACACACACACACACACACACACACACGCATTCACACTTAGGTTCTCCCAAACCTCATTCCCTCCATATCACACATAGTCCAGAAAACGCAAAAAGCTATTATTTTCATGGGAGGGGTAAATGAGCCCAGACCAACAGATATTTAAGCTTTGCCGAGTGGATAATGGAGAGATGACTATATTGGGAGCAGGCTCAATACTCCCCTTCCAAGGGAGAGAAGGGTGAGACACAGCGGGGTGTGGGGAGAGAGGGAAACAGGGTGAGCGTGTCACCGGCACACCTCCCCAACACAGGCCACCCCCCACCCAACTAGAACCTCACCTGAAGGTAGTGGTAACTCCTATCCTTGGCCTTGGTCTCAGGCCCCAGGAGTCCCTTGCCTGGCCCGGACCCCTGGAGCCCATCCCGGCCCTGGCTGACCATCATGGTGTGCCAGGCACTGCGCTTCACCGTCTGCCCGTCCAGTGACATGGACATGCCAGTACAGGCCAGGCACCGGCCCTCAGGCCCGCCTGGGAGCCCCTTGAAGCTCAGGTCCCGGAAGGTCCCGTCAGGTGCCTCTAGGCAGAAGGGGGCGCCAGCCTCTCCTGGGGGCCTCCCGCCTGCCAAGAAGCCACTGTCGCTGTCCAGGTTGTCATCTGAGCTCCACCAGCCCATGGACTTGGGGGTGTGCCGCCCATTGGCCTTACGGTCCTTGCTCTTGCTCCTCTTGCCGTGGCGGGACTGGTGGTGGTGGTGGTGGTGGTGGTGGTGGTGGTGGTGGTGCGGGGGTCCGTGTGGGGAATGGTGACCGGCGTACCCCTCGCTCCCCGACCCGGTTCCAGACCGGCTCTCTGCCTTGGGCCCGTTGTAGTCCCGCTTCCCTGGAGCTTCCAGAGAATGGGACTTGGCAAAGAGCTTTTGGACGGAGTGGACCAGGTGGCGGATGCGGCTGGGGCTCTCACTTCGGGGCTCGGGGGCACCCCCGCCAGTGCCAGAGCCAGCCCCGGTGCCGCCGCTGCCACCCGCCACCCCTCGTGGGTATGGCAGGGTGTGGAAACCGTCCTGCTGCAGAGGCAGCTGCTTCTCAAACTGGTCCAGGAGTGTCGGGGGCAGGCGGGCAGCAACCTTCCCTGGAGGGTGACCCACACAGTCTTCACAGCCATCAAAGGGGGCCTGCCCAGGGAACATCCTGGGGAAGGTGCTGCTGCCTGCCCCACCAGGCCCTGGCCCAGGGCCCAGCCCCCCGTCAGGACCTGCAGAAGGTGGCTCGCTCAGACTCAGGGGACCGTCGGGTGAGAGGTGGCCAGGACCAGCCCGTGAAGGGCAGTATCGGGGGTCCGCGGGGTAAGGTTCACCGGGGCCCAGGAGGTACGGGGGTCGGGAGCCCGGGGCTGTGGGGCCGTAGTCCGTGGGCGAGTCAGGCAGACGGGCAGGGCGGGGCTGGCTGCCTCGGTCGCCATGATAGCCCCTCATGGCCTCAGCAAAGATGATTCAGACTCTCCATGGTGTTGCAGGCCAGGCCCTGGGGGCCACCTGAGCATGTGGGAAGAGAACAGAGGTTAGTGGAGCCTGAAAATCAATCTCCCCATTAACCCTCCTGTATCTAGCACCATAGACAGCATCCCCCCACCACATACACACACACACACACACACACACACACACACGCACTCAGCTCCCAGTTATCCATCCAGGGCCAAGGACAGAAGCCATAATGATATGAATAATAACAGCTCACAGGAATGTAACCCAGGTGCACACCTGGAACATTTGCATAAAACATCCTCATTAGTGGAGGGAATGATGATTCCTTGCTTACATACCACCAAGGAGGACGGCTATGCAAATGTTTCAGGTTTGAACCTGGGTTACATTCCTAGAGCGCTTGAAGGTTCACAAAATGCTTTCCTTACAGCAAACCTATGACAAAATAGTGATCATACTTTATCTGAATCTTACAGATTCTGAAGCTCAGGCCTCCTGATTCCACTGTGCTGTTGTTGCTCAGTCGTTTCAGGTGTATCTTATTCTTCGTGACTCCATTTGCAGTTTTTTGGCAAAGATCCTGGAGTGGTTTGTCATTTCCTTCTCCAGCTCACTTTACAGATGAGGAAACTGAGGCAAACAGGGTTAAGTGACTTGCCCAGGGTCACACAGCTTGTAAGTGTCTGAGGCTGGATTTGAACTCAGGTCTTCCTGTGCTCTATCCACTGCACCACCTACCTGCCATATCAAGTGATGTCATTGGTCCTCTTTAAGAATGAAGGATGAACAAGGGAAACCACCCGTAAAGCCTCAGCCCCACACAAACCTTCCCAAGAGCAACAGCATAATGAATTGGAACAAATACTCCTGCTTGGGTCCCCACTCTGGCTGACTAGACAGTGATTCAGAGAGAGGACCATGAAGGAGGAGGCCACGCCCACCAATTAATGCTGAATGGGACCAGCTGCTCATTATCACCCAATCAGCCCATTGGGCCCCCTCTGTTCCCTTCCCCAGGACCATTACAAAAGGAATAATCAGGGGACAGCTAGGTGGCACAATGGATAGAGCACCAGCCCTGGAGGCAGGAGGACCTGAGTTCAAATCCAACCTCAGACACTTGACACTTAACTAGCTGTGTGACCCTGGGCAAGTCACTTAACCCCAATTGCCTCACAAAAAAAAAAAAAGGAATAATCAGGGGAGTTGCCATGCCTTCTCACTAGGCCACCCTCTATGTCACAAAGCTAGTATCTGAGGCTGGATTTGAACTCTGGTCTTCCTGACCCGAGGCCCAGTAGTCCATTGATCATGCCTAGCAACCCAGTTGCTTTTCCTCTTCCTTGTGCCCCTAAGACAGCTCAGAACCATGGCCTTCCAACTCCTCACAGCCTAAGGGTCTCATGAAAGGCCTATAGGTGCCCGAGGTCTGTAGCGGTCGGTGTAAGGATATGCTGGAGCCAGTTTTAACTGGATTGAGACAGTCAATTGTTAAATTTTCAGTGTGAGCTTTTTATATCTCAGAAATCAGCAATCACTACAAACCAGGGCTATTGTTTTGCTGATTGTCTAGATTTAAGAAAATATTACTAATACAGATTAAACTTAAAAGTATCTGTGTATGCTTTAAAAAAAAAAAACCTGATTATTAAATATTTACCAGCTCACCCCTGTACTACTTTTATAGACATTGCTTGAATTTAGCAAGAGTGAGGTTAAGGCTCGGGAATGATGTCATCATCAGGCTAAAGGCCTGGTGACTGGAGACTCATAACAATAATAATAACCAGCATTTATGTAGCGCTTTATGTTTACAAAGTATATACTATCCATAATCTCTTTTAAGCCTCACAGCATCCCTGGGTCAGTGGATCTCTCTCTGTCAGGACTAGGAGTCCTGAAACTCTAAGACATCCTCCCATTCACAGGCACGAACAAATTGTGAGAAGAGAAAACGCTAATAGAAATGCTACCCTAGGGTGTGCCAGCACGCTTAGGCCTTGTGTTTGCACGTGTGTCTGAGATTCTTCACCAAAACTCCCTTGCCTGGCCACAGCTGCTCTATTGCCCCCTGTTAGAATGTAGGCTCTCTGAGGGCAGGCGCTGCTTTGCTTTTGGAATTCTACTGGTTCCCAGAACCAAGCACCGTGCCTGGAGCATAGAAGGCTTCTTCATTCATTCATTCATCCCCAAACAACCTTCAACTGCACTCTCTCTTACTTCCAGGATGGAAGTAGGTATAAGAGATAATCAAATCCCAGACTGTCAAATCAGAAAGCCCTGGGTTCAAATCCTGCTTCCAGCTCTTACTAGCTATAATCTAGCGCAAGTCACTTCATCTCTGAGTTTCCTCATCCATAAAGTGGGGACAACAAAACCTATAGAAGCTATTTCCCAGGGTTCTTGTGGGACTCTAATGAGATTGTAAAACAGTTTGCAGACTTTAAAGCACTTTTAAAAGTTTTAAAGGCTGTGTAAATGTCAGTTATCATTATTATTCCTCAAGATCATGGGGCCTCTAAACCTCTTCCCCTCTCCTCCCACCATCCCTGGGAGACATGATTCCTCACTTTACGGAGGAGTGTGCAAATTCCCAGAGCACAGGTGAGCGGCTGAGCACGTTTCCAGGAAGCCCCAGAGCAATGGGAGCCAGGCACCCTAGCCCCCGGGCTGTCACTCAGAGGATCCTACGGTTTCAGGACCAGAAGGAAGAATCAAGCCTAACCTCTGACTTTGCAGATGGGGAAAAAGAGTCTTGAAGAAGGGAAGTGACTTGTCCAAGGTCACATAGCAAGTTACTAACAGAATCAGTACTTGAACCCAGGTCTTTGGAGTCCCAGGTCGGTCCTTTCTTTCCCAAAATGCTAGAAATCTTCCATCTCACCCCCTTTCCACTTTCTACCTTCCAACACGGTCAGGTCTCCTCTATCTCGAAAAAAAAACCCAGAAGTAAAAGACTTTTACTTTTACATAGTTCCCATCTACTCTTACCTTCCTTTCATAGCTAAACTCTTCATCAACCCCCACACCTTTACTTTCTGCCCATTTGTTCCTTCCTTTATTACTGTTGTTGTTCAGTAATTTCAGTCATGTCTGACTCTTCATGATCCCATTTGGGATTTTCTTGGCAAAGATACTAGAGTGGTTTGCCACTTCCTTCTCCAGCTCATTTTACAGATGAGGAAACTGAGGCAAACAGGGTCAAGTGACTTGTCCAGGGTCATGTAACTAGTGAGTGCTTGAATTGAGATTTGAACTCAGGTTTTCCTTAGGTCAAGCACTCTATCCAATACACCACCTAGCTCTCTATACCATACACTATCTTGTTTGAACTTCCAAATCCTGTAAAATTAGTACAAAAGTCTCCATTTTACAGATGAGGAAAGGGAGAAGAGTAAATGACCTGCCCACAGTCATATAGCTACTAAGTATATGACCCCATGCCTCCTTGACTCCAAGGCCAGCACTCTATAGACTATGCCATGCTAATTCAATGAAATCAGTACCTTGACGCTCTCTCAAGGTCCTTTCCAGCTCTAAATTCCATGATCCCATGAAGTAACTTGCCCAAGGTCACTATGGTCAAAAGTATAAATATAGGATCAGAGATTTAGACCTTAAAGTTCAATTTATCCAACCTCCTCATTTTGCAAATCAGAAAACTGAGGTCCAAAGTTTGAGTGACTTCCCCAAGGTCACACAAATAGTCAGTAGCAGAATCAATATTCAGAATCATATCCCATGTCTCCAACCATGCTGCCTCCAAATAATAGATCTGTGACTGCATCCCAAGCCTTCTGACTCCAGGTCCACAGCTCTTCCCACATCATACTGTCTTCCCCATGTTAACCTAGGATATGACTGTGGGCAGGTCAGTTTCTCTCTTTAACCTCAGTTTCCCCATCTGTAAAATAAAAGAGAAGGACTAAATTCTCTAACGTCCTTTCCAGCTTTAGTATTCTAGGATTCTGGCAATCAGCTTCCCTCTGATCCCAGTTTCCCACTTCGGGGTGATGGCATCATCTTCCCAATCCTCCAGATTCAACACCTCAGAGTTATCTTTGGTTCTGCCAAGTCCTGTCAATTCTACCCCTCTGTGACATCCCTTGGAATCCTCTCTCCATTGGCAAGATCACCCTCTTAGTATAGGCAAGCTCTCAGTCCTTTTCTCCTAGACCATGGAAGCAGTCTTCAAATTGATTTATCTCTGGCTTCCTAACTGGTCTGTCTCCAGCCTCCTAAGTCGCACCCCTCCCTGTGCTCAAAAGCCAAATAACCTCCCTAAAATACTTATTTCATTGAGTTGCCCCTCTTTACTACATTGAGTCTCAACTCTTCAGCCTAGCCTTCAAGGCCCTACCTGACCTGACCCTGCCAATTACAGGATCATTGGATTGCAGATTTAGAGCTGGTAGGGACCTCAGAGGTCATCTAGTTTGGGTAAGGCCAGGAGAGGCTGGCCAAAGTCACACAGGTAGTGAATAGTAGAACAGACGTAGGTCTTTCTACTGCAAATCCATCATTCTTTTCACTGTTCCATGCTGCCTTATCTCCTATTCTTTCTCCCACCCTACCTATGACTCAGTTTCCATCTTCCGGGGCCAGATAGTATGGATTGAGGATAGCAGTTTGGGGGCAAGAGGAAAAGTGGTAACCAAGATCTTCTCTGGGTCCCATGATGTCCCTATTCTTTTTTGGGGGGGGGGGAGTGAGAAAAAAGCAATCTGGATTAAGTGACTTGCCCAGGGTCATATAGCTAGTAAGTGTCTGGGGCTGGATTTGAACTCAGCTCCTCCTGACTCCAGGACCAGTGTTCTATCCACTGTACCACCTAGCTGCCCCCATGATGTCCCTATCCTGCCCAAGACCTGAAGGGTAAAAGAGGGCATCTGGTTCCAAGTTTCCATAGGAAAGAATCACAGCCACAGGGCCGTAGGCCCAGGAGATTTGTCAGGGGTGGGGAGAGTGCCCTTTGGGGTGCAGGGGGGGAGGGGCTGAGGAAATGGCATAATTGTTTCCCCTCATTAAGATGAGTATGAGGCCTGGTTTAGAAGCAATTTCATTATTCTCTCATGAAGCTTGGTTAATTAACAGACTCATTAGCATACCCAAAGAGGACCCAGGACAGCTCAGCTAGAGCTATTCCCCAGTGGAATGAGGTCTCTGTGATCATCAGGGATGAGAAGAGAAGCTTCAGACTCTCCCCCTCCCCCACAGCCCTGGCCCCCATCCCAGCACAGGGGCAGCTCACTGATCCTCACCCCCACGCTCTGCCACATCCTTCACCCTTTGCCCATGCTCTTCTCCTTCGGGAAGCCTTCTCGGATTAACCCTTCACACCTTACCCCTGTGTTCCCTGGTCTCCTGTGATACACTAGAAAGGTCACTTCCTGGCACATATATTTACAACCACCTCCTCCCACACTCCACCCAACCCAGACCCCACCTGTCTCAATTCTCTCCCTTTGTTCCTGATCCTGGCAAATTTCCCCAAAAGGTCCTTCGTTGGTGCTGCTTAACATTAGAGCCCCTTCACCTGCCTTGACCTCCTCCTTCTCTTCCTCCTCCTCCTCCTCCTCTCTTGGCCTCACCTGCTGTCCAGCTGACTGGCTATCTCCCGCTGCTTACCCACTCACAGGCAGGGGGATCCAGGTCACAGAGCTAGGAAGGGGCAGAGCTGGGATTCAAACCCAGGTCCCTCTAAATCCAACGCTAGCTATCTTTCCACCACACCACACTTCTTCCCAAATTCAGACTCAGAGAGGACTGATGATAAGGGGACTGATTCCATGTTTGCCAGTCACATCACTTTCTGTTCACAACTCATCCATTTACACACACACACACACACACACACACACACACACTCATAAGCACATACTACATGGAGACAGAATATTTTCACCTGCAGCACCCCAATCTCATTCTATCCCAAAAAGAATTCATCATCTCCACCCACCTACCCCAAAACTGATCCAGCCTCCTGACTTCCCCATCTGGCTATGGCAACACTACCTCCCAGTCAACCAGACAGGAACCCTCACAGTCCTCCACTCCCCATTCCACAAACACATCAGCCACATTTCCATCTTGTGCCTTTTGCTCAGGCAATTCCTCCTGCCTGAAACACCCTCCCTCCTCATCTCCAAATCCTCCCTTTCCATCAGGGCCCAGATCCACTCTCTCCTCCAGAGAGACCCATCCTCTTCTCTGAGACTGTACAGCCCTGACTGGACCATGCATTTGGACACTAAAACACTGATCTCGTACTATTCTCTTCCTCTTCCATGGGGAAGGCAGGTGTCTGCAATTGTCTAAGCTCAGAGACCATGTTTTCTCTTTTTCCCATCTACCCCCCAGCAGAGACAACATGGGGCTGGGCAATCAGTCAGGACTTGTGGAATTACCTATTATCCTGTTCCTCTCTTTCCTCTTCTCTCCTGTCAGATCCCTCTCCTTTCTTCCTGCCAGCCTCTAGACCTCCAAAGATCAAACCATTAGACATGGAAGGGACCTTAGGGGTCTTCTAGTCGAAGCCCCTCGTCTTACAAATCATAGATTGTAGAGCTGGCAGGGACTTCAGAAGCCACCTGATCCAACATTCCCAATTTATAGATGAGAAAGCTGGAGTCTCAGAGAAATTAAGTGACTTGCCCAAGGTCACACAGGTAGAAAGTATCTAAGGGTAAGATTTGAACCCAGGTACCCTGACTCCAGAGACAGGTGTTCTTTCCATTGTAATGTACTGTCCCTTCACTTCTGCCTTAGCCCCCTTAAGCCCACTCTGTTCCTTCCCCTGCACCATCCACAGCCCCTTACCATTCAGGGTGTCCCATCCTTGTCCACAGGGTCCCCACAGCTTGGTCACGAAGAAGCCTTCCTCTGCAGCCCCTGGTTCCTGAGGAGCTGAATACATAGGGGTGGGAAAGATATGGGTTATGAAGCTAAGATGTGATTTTCCCAGACAGCACCCTCTAGACCCCACAGGCCCTGCCCCCTAGCAAGGGCACGATTACCCAAACAACTCTGCTCCATGCCCCAAAACAGATTGTCCAGAACCCAGAACACCCAGCACAAAGTTGGGACAGACAGCACGCCTGCCCTCAGCTCAATCCTATACCCATCCTGCCTACCTCTGCCCCGACACTCGGCATCTCTGGCCTCAAACATCTGGATTAGGGACATCAAAAGCACTTCCACAGCTATTCCCCAATTTGAGCCTCATACACACACCCTCTCACAGAGATCTAAAGGATCTACCCTGATCTGTAGGCCTAGCTAACCACTGAGGACCCTGAACCCAAGCCTCCCAATGCCAAGTACAGTGTTCTGTCCTCTGTATCATGTAAGTCAAACTTCAAGAGGAACTTCCTGACCCTTAAGAATAACCCTATGAAGGGAAGGCAGAACTCTCACCTCTCACTATGTTTCTCATTTTCTCTATCAAGGATAATGATATTCCTACTAGAAGTACAGAACAGAAATGGTTAACAGTGAGTTGAAACCCAAGATATGATATGAGGAAATGGTTTGGGGTTTTTTCTAAGTGTCTGTGTGCCTTCAATGAGTTTAAGTCACCAGGTTCAGACAAACTATATCCCAGAGTACTGAAAGATGTGTAGACATGACTACTGAGCAACTGTGTGCTATACGGAAGCAAAGTGTGGCATCTACTTGGAGAAAATCCATGATAAAGACTCCCCAAATCCAACTGTCTGGATTAAGGAAAGGCATTAGAAACTATCTTGCCTGGAGGCAATAAGCAAGACCTAATGGTAGATACTCCTAGCTATCTAACCATCAGATTGTGAGCTCCTTAAGAGAAGTTTTTTATTTGTTATTTTTATCCCCAGAATTTAGCACAATAGTAATTCATAATACATAGTAGGTTCATAGCACATAGTAGGTTTATAATAAATGTTTATTGATTGATTAACTAACTGACTGACTCTGAACTCTCAAGGTTATATCCTCCAATTCCCTCCCAAAATTCTGCCAAAGACTGGTTCTTCCTATCTCACCCAGAATGGGAGTGTGGCTGCCATTCACATGCCTGATCCCACTTCTGACCCCACAGAAGCTTTGACCTACTGGTCCATTTACAATCTGGGCCAATTCACAAGTTCCTTAGGCAGCTTGGTCCCCATTCTCCCCGACCCCCACCTCCTCTCCCATTTCCAGGGGCGCATCATATTGGTTCTGAATCTAGTATGTACATCCAATCAGCTTTAGCCCTACTGCAGCTCAGAACTCCCAAGCTCAAGCAATCCATCAGCCTCAGCCTTCCTTAATAAGAGGGTTTAGAGGAATGTACCACCATACTTGGTCACAGTAGCCTTTTTTAGCTGCTGTGGCTTACCATTGACTCATATTGAGCTTGTAGTCCATTGGCAACCCAGGTCTTTTTCACATGAACTAAAACACTATGTATTAGATTGACTTCTTGAATCCAAGTTTGAACTTTGCATTTATTCCTATTAAATATCACCTTATCAGATCTGACTAGATTATATTATTAAGATCTTTTCGGATCCTGATTCTCTCATCTAAAATATTAACTAACCCGCCCAACTTGATGCAATCTGCAGGTCTAATAAGCATACTATTTATTCCATCATCCAAATCATTGATAAGAACATTGAACAGAATAAGACCAAAAGCATAGAGCAAAACTGAGGGGCACCCCCACCTCACCCCACCCCACCCCCCGAGGCTAGGTGGCACAGTGGATAGAGCACTGGAGTCAGGAGTCAGGAGAACCTGAGTTCAAATCCAGCCTCAGACCAAACACTTGACACTAGCTGTGTGACCCTGGGCAAGTAACTTAACCCCAATTGCCAAAAAAAAAAAAAACTGAGGGGCACCCCACCGGTGATCTCCCTCCATATTAACAGTACTACTACTCTTTGGTCTGATCATGTAACCAGTTCATCCAACCAAAAAGGATGTCTTGAGGGACTTGGACAAATCCATGCTGAAGTAACTAGGCATACTATGTCTATACCATTTCCCTGATCTATTAGTCTAATCAATCTATCAGAAAAAGACATGACCTTAATCTTGAAGATTTGTTCTTAATCAGCTGATGCTGATTTGTAGTGATTGTTTCTTTCCTTTCTAAATGCTTATAAACTATCCCTTTAATAATATGTTCTATAATTTTGCCAAGAATCCAACTTAAGCTCATTATCTTACAGTTTACAAAATTTACCTTCTCCACCCCTTCTCACTCCCTTTGAAAATCTGGATAACTATCTGTTTCCTAATCTGTGGTACTTCCTTCATTCTCCATGATTTTTCAGAGATTCCACTAACAACTCAGCAATTATATCAGCAAATCTTTCAATATCTTGAGATGCAGTGGATCTGAACAAGATGGCTTAAGCTCATTGAATGCAACCAGCTGCTCTCTTACCATTTCCTCACGTAAACTGGTTTTCAACTCTCTGCTAACCATTTTCTATCCTCTGCTTCCTAAATGAAATATAATTATCTTTAAGAGAAAACAAGAAATACAACGGGGGTGAGTAGTTCTGTCTTTGTTCTATCATCCAATATCATCATAGGTTTTGTCCATCCCAAGCAGCAGACTAATCTCTTCTTTGATCTTTTTGCCCCAACATAGGTTTGTTTGTTTGTTTTTTAAATTAAGATATCCTTCCTGAAGGAGCAAAAGTGATTTTAACCTGAATTTTGAAGGAGAAAGGAAGTTGAGGGGGACATAAGGAGTTTGAGGGAAGGGGATGCTTAGGGAGAACAAGAGGCTGAGGAAAAGGAGGAAGCAGAGGGACAGGGAGAGGCTGGAGGAAAGGAGGATCCTAAGGACAAGACAGCAGGCCATGGGGATGGACTCTTCTAACTGGAACTGTAACCAGTACAGGCTAAAAGGACGGAGAAGGAGAGGAAAAGGGGAGCCAGTCTGAAGAGTTTGAATCAAGCACAACAGACTATAGAAAACTTGCACAGGAGACGATGGGATAAAAAAAGATATTTGAGGATGATTTCTCAGGCCAGGGCAGGGCCATGAGCCCAGCAGGACTGCCATTCTCTAGTCTCAACAGCGAGGCCAGGTAGCTCAAAATAGAACGGCTTTGATATGGCAACCACTGCGAGGAGAATCAGCTGAAGAAGCACAGAACCTGAGCAAACATCTCCTCCCTTGCTCCCTGCCTCCTTCCAGGAAGGCCCAGGCTGATGAGAGCCTCCTTTCTGGCAGGGGATGGGATTCCCTCCCATATCCCACCCTGTACCCTTTCCGCTGGCTTACTGAAGATTCACCTCCATCAAATCAGAGGCAGTCCCTCTACTCATCTAACCTACATTTCTTCAATACGGAGACTTGGACCACAATACCAGAGGACTGAAGACAAAACTCCTCCCGACAGAGAGGGATGGACTGAAAACGCTGAATGAGACACACATTTTTTGCATGTGGTCAACCAAGAAATTCATTTTTCTCAACTATGCATATTTGTAATGAGGGTTTTATTTTTGCTTTATTTTTTAATTGTTGAAGTAGGAAAGGAGGATTAATTTATTTTTTATAAATACATAGATTTATAATCATGGATCTGGAAAAGACCTTAGGGACCAGCTACCCCAATTCCCTCATTTTACAGACAAAGAAAATGAGGTCCACAAATGTGCCCAGTGGCAGTCAGGATTCAAATCCAGGCCCTAACTCCTAGGCAGTTGGAGTCCCCTTCTTCCTGAACCACAATGTCAATTTCCCCAAGCCCCAGCCCTGGGATACTGGGAGAGTTGTCTCTGATGCCGATATTGGAAATACTAAGGCAGCCCTCAGCCTTGTCTTCTCCAGAACTGTCGCCTGTTTTCCTGGGAACCCTCAGCCAAGCCAGAACATGATGTCCTTAACCTTCAATCATCTACCTGTTGATCATTCCACCTTTAGGGAATAGATTATCTGTGGAGAATCACTGTCAGAGATCCAAAGAACCGCAGAAGGCATGCACTTCATCCTCTACCTCAGCAGGAAACAGAGCAGTAGGAAGAGCACTGAATGTGGAGAGGGAAGACCTGGGTTTGAATCTTGCTATCAGTATGACCTTGGGTGGTACCTGTCTGTGCCTCAGTTTCCTCACCTGTAAAACGTTGGATTAGCTAACCTCTGAGGTTCCTTCCAAGTAGGATTCTGTGATTTTGATACATTAGAACAGCCTCAGCAAGGAGTCAGCCCCGAAGACCTCCAGTGACTCACTACCTTACAAAGTAGTCCATTCTGCTTCTAAACAGCTCTGACTGGTTTTTTTTTCCTTTTTCTGAGCCAAAAATCTCCCAGATTCCCCCGCCCCCACCCTCCATTGCTGCTAGTTCTGCCTTTGGGCCAAGTAAAACAGGTCTAACATTTCTCCCAGCAGACAGCTTTTCAACTACTTAAAGACAGCTGGATGGCCAGTGGATGGAGCTCTGGACCTGAAGTCAGAAAGATTTGAATTCAAATCTAGTTTCTGACACTGTAACTGTGTGACTCTGGACAAATCACTTATCCTCTCTATGCCTCAGTTTCCCTACATGTAAAATAGGGACAGTAATAGGACCTACTTCCCAGAATAAAATGAGGCATTTGCAAAGCAAACCTTAACACACTATATAGATGCTATCGGGGTGGGGAACCTGCAGCCTTGAGGTCACGTGTGGTCTTCTAGGTCCTTGGATGTGGCCTTTTGACTAAGTCCAAGTTTTACAGAACAAATCCTTTTATTAAAGGGATTTGTTCTGTAAAGTTTGGATTCGGTCAAAGGGTCACACTTGAGGACCTAGAGGGCCACATTTGGTTTCAAGGCCAGAGGTTCCCCACCCCTGTAGCTAGTAATTAAAATAACTACCATTTTCC